GAACTGCCGTTTAAGGTCGAAATAAAGCTGTATAGTATACCTGCACAATTAGTGCCCAGCACTATCGTTTCTAAGGGATCGCTTATTTTTACACTCAATTGGGCAGGCGTATCTATCAAAATACTACCAACTTTATTACTGACTGCCCTGTATTGAACTCGAACTTTCAACCTAATTTGTAAATTTAGAACTATACTATATTTAAATCTGAAACACAGTTTAAAACTAAAATCTTAAATGTTTCCGTAACATCACCTACATCTCAATTGCAATTTTATTTTAACCGACTCTGGCTACTAGTTTCAACGGATCCAATATTTCTTTGCAATTGCTGATTGCGTGTGAACGGGGTGGTCTAAAACTCTTATCTCGAGATCACACCGCAGGGTGGCACTTCGGTCTACGCAATTTAAGGGCTCTAGAGGGTTGGATTCATGGTGAGAAACTGTTACACACGAACCCGAAATACGTTATAGCCAAGATCAGTAGCATTTATATGTTTTCCATACGCTTATGTGTTAATAAACAATTTCTTCTTGAATCCAAGTCACTAACAGTGAGCAACAGCTGTCCTATAAGCAAAAGATCAAAAGTCAAAAGGGCGCTGCCACAATTTATTATACGATTTAAAACTATTTAAATAAATAAATGGGCTATGAATATACGTATTTCTGCTTTATTATTCGGTATTCGGGCCATCAAATTATCAGTCTGTCACAGTTGGATGCTGAAATTAGCGTAAAAGTTTATAAACGCAGGGAACGGATCAAAAATACCATAACCAGAAGAGCCAGGATATCACTACTGAACGCCAGTAAGAATAGATCTGTAGAAATCTTTGACATAATGGCCAATAGTAAGAAAATAGAAAAACCTTTGCAAACAGAAAATGGATGTAATAAGACATCCGACAAATGAGCGCCTCGGCTTTGCTGGCACACCGGTGTCCTTTTTATGACATTTTTAAAGACAATTGCGCATAAATATTGGGGTATTTCAGAGATACAGCGGTGAATTACATCTTTTAAGGCTTCAGTGGTTGTTGGTTTATTCAGATCAAAATGCGTAAAATCGCATGATCTGGGCGGTCAATGCCGATCTCCATAACGAGAACTACCACGATCAGGAAATGACTAGTGCAGTAATTCAACACTTTCTGGGCTGTATGGCATGTTGGACCGTCCTGTTGAAACCACATGCTGTTGAGATGCATATTTTTGACTATGCATTTTCTAAGAAAAATAGTCCGATGTTGCCTCGAGCCGGCAATGCACACCAAACAGTGACTTTTTTTGGAAGCACCTGTTTTAAGCCTGGGTAACACAGTGGATTTTCAGGGTGTTAACACAGCGACACCCATACGGTTTGCCGTATTGAAACAGCGACACAGCACGTCAGATTTTTTATATGTTTGGAAATAAAAATAGAAGACGTTGTGTTTCGTGATATCTAGTGGTTCCTAAGTTCGCTAGCGGTGCTTTTAAACGGTTCAGCGCATTGAATGTTTTCTTCATTGGTTTTACTGAAGAGAGACTATGACAGACGCTGGTTGCGTTCTTGTAATAAAAGGAATGAATGAAGTAGCAACACGTTTTCTTCTTGTCAAGCCTATTTGCCGCACAGGTATCTGTGACTGGTTTAGAAGCTGCTGGGCCAACCATAATTTATGACCGAATGACTTTTGTTCCTCTAAGTATGCAAGGGCTGACAAAACCAAATTCGTTTTTTGGCCTTCTTCGCATACTGATTTTTCATGCAATCTGGTACTTCTGGCAGTATTCAAAAGACAGGCATTTGCCTTTTTGCTTTGTTGAAATATCGAAATTCGAGATGATGTACTGGTACCTGCGACCAGCATTTTATGCGAGCCATATCGAACTGAGATAAATAAGAATTCAGCAGTAATCGGTAGACAAGTATTTTGAGCACTTTCGTTCGTGCGGCTTTATAACCTTAAATTAACCCCTGCCGAGAAGGTCAGAAACCATATGGTAACTGCGCGTGGCCTTCACGAACTACAATCCGAGTCTGCCAAAGTGTTGTTCAAAGTGCCGCGTCGTAAGAAGCCAGGTGTCGCGACACATGGACACACAGAGCTGCATCAACACACAAGTGTTTTAAGACACAGTGTTACCCAGGCCTAATCTGTTTCTGAACGATCACTCGTGCATTTTCAGATCCCCGAATACAACAATTTTGCCAATTAGCGAAGCCATCAAGATGAAAATGGGCCTCGTCACTAAATTTGATTTTCGTCGAAAAATCACCGTCTATTTGTCGTTGTTCCAAAGTCCAATCAAAGGCTCTTCGTTGCCCATGGTCTTCCGGCTTTAGCTCTTGAGCCAATACATCTTTTTTGTTAGAATTCGATGCATAGTGGTTGTGGAAACACCAATTTCATGAGCTCTATGCCAAATTGATGTGGTTGGGCTTTCCTCGATATTTGTACGTATTGCTGCGATATTTTCAATCGAGCGATCAGGACGAACACTTGTTTCTGCTTTGACTTTATTAACAGTCCCAGTTTGCTGACATTTCTTCATTAATTTTCTGACAGTGGCTTCAGTTGGTGCCTTACGATGACCCATAATTGTACGCATTTTGCGAACTGTGGCTGCAAACTACTTTGATAATAATTTTTCACACTGAAAATTCGTTGTTGTGTATTGAACCGCAAGATTTTACTTAACCTCCTGCTGTCTATTAGCGAACGGTTTTTTTTATGTCGAATCATAACACTACAAATCGCGCGCAATTCAAGACTGTCGTTCTTATTGGAACACCCTTTACATCAAACTATCACCGACATGTTATTACCAATTATTACCAAGTTTGTTACGAATTACTACGAAATTCGCAATTATAAAATTTGTAAGAGAGATGGCGGAAGCATTTGTATATGGTTTCCCAAATAAATTAAAGTATCATGTATTTATGGCCGTGATTACCAGCTCACAAGACTTTCGTTGAAATAATCAGACATCGCGTCTAAACCTAACTTAATAGACTAATATACGAACAGCATACAGGGTGGTTTTTTAGTTCGAGAGAGTCCATTATTCTAATTACTAAAAAATGAGTTGATTCTATCCACCACATAAAAACTTCTGGTAGTTTTTGTACCACGACACTTAAGAATTCACCACTTGTCCAAAACGGCTGAACTCGATTGTTTCATCAAAATATGAGTCTTCTATAAGACGTTTACCTAAGAAATATGAGTCTTACAAGCGAGTTTACCAAAATACATCGTACCTTTCTCCCGAAATTTAAAAAAGGATAAAATTTTTAAGAAATTTGACTGATCAATAGCATAGGAACCTGACAATTTTTATTAATAAAAGTTAGGTCAGATCGTCTTCTTTTGATCCAAAAAATATCGCAGTACCCTTTTGATCATGTGCTTACGGGGCACCTTGTATATTGATTGTTGGATAATTGAAAATATTTTTTCATATGAAGTATCAATTATATTAACATAATATTAAATATTTAGTGAGGTCAAGTTGGTTTTGGTTTGTGGTACCTTTTCCTATAGAATACTTCCTGCACAAGTGCGTATGAATCCAGCGTGTATTTCCAAAAAAATTGCGTCCCAAGCAGACGAAAGGACACGAATATCTGATACTATTGAACGACCATATATACGTCAGAAGCGAAAGATAAAGTCTCTTGAAGAATGTGATGTACTTACAAAGAAGTTTTCACGTTACGAAATTCAGATGTCGAAATATCTTTACCGGATGCAAAAAACTTGATAAATTCTTGTATTATTTGGTTGGTTCCAATATTAATACATATACAGTTCAAAAGTGGAACCAAATTTGGTCTATATTGGCATGTAAATCACTCCTTTATAATTGGAACCGAGAGCAACTAACAACTCAATAAATTCTAAAATCAATCAATCTAACTCTATCGATCTGTCCTAATATTGACGTTGGAGTCAAAAATATTTGCTTCTTAGTAGAACCACCATATGAACGACGGCATATCGGATACTGGCGGATTACTGTGAATATGTCAGCAACACTTCTAGCCACTCCAACCTCAAATCATGACGATACCCTGCAAACCAATGAAGTTGACTCAGGAAATTAACTACAACACGAGGGACATGCACCATAACGGATAAGCCAAGATAAGCCGTCTCCAAGACAAAATGCATTCTTCATTGACTACTCATAACAATTCCTCGTGCTAACAGAAGATCAGATGGAGTGGCCAAAGCTAGTGTATAAAGATGACATTTAACGCAACTAAAAGCTTCAGATTCTTTTTAATTGACAGCACACCTATGACGATGCTTCATGAGGGCGACAGACATTTAAACCATAGCATAGTGTGCAACGCAACATGAAATTGAAGAAGCATAAACATTAATTGTGCAGTAGAAACATATTGAAAGCAAGCACGTTCCAAATGTAACACCGTTTAGGCCTTAAAATATGTTCGACAAAATAATAAACATAGTTCAACAGAATGCTGCAAAAAATGCTTAACCGTGCAACCCCATTTTTAAAACCTATTATTTATTATTTATTGTTATTCACCTGAATCTTTTCATCGAAACTTCCACGTTAAATTACTTATTTGAACGCACACACTAATTCAATTCATTTAAGATAAATATGTTTTCGAATGTCCCTACTGGAAGTTGTTTACCTCGCTTTAAGAAAATGCAATATGTCCAAGTACTCCCATTTGAATTAGACTCTCGTAAAATGTTCACTGATTTAGAAACGAGCTCTGGTACGATCCGATTTATACAGATGCTCAGCATTGTTTCACTTTTACGATCATCTTTAGTGTGCAGTATATACTTGCAATCAATGCAAACATTTTCTAACCAGTAAAGCAGGTGTCTGAGAAATATTGGCGTATTAAATCATTACGGTTGACTTTAGGTGATTTTAACCCGGGATAATAAGTTTGATGATTCTTAATATGTATGTCGTTAAAAATTTGCCATATTAAGTCTAAGAATGACTTCGTAAATTTACGTCTTACGTGACACTTTTATTAGCTGTAAATATTTATGTACTTGTAAACGAGGTAGTTATTATACATATTATTTGTCTTAAATATTTTCATGTTATAACAACTTGTGATAAAGATCTTATATATCACTTGCGTATCTCAGTGAGTTTCAGAAGATAGATGTTCTATGACACATGTAAGTATTTTGCTTCTGCTTATAAATATATTTATTAGTTCTTTCATTCGTGAATAAGATATATGTCTTGTTTTCATACATTAATAAATTATGTTATATGTTACAATCATGATGAATTGAAATCAAAAAGTCGATTTGCAACTGGGTTTACTCACTCGTATACAACGTAGATTGACGATTTAGTGCTTGGTTTTTTGCGTTGCTAGAAGTGGTAACTCAAAATAGAAATGTTGCTCAGGGAATAGAAACTTCGAATAGTAATTAAAAAAAAATAAAAATATTGGAAACGATTAAATCAGATATTTTTTCTCTGATTGCAGACTCTGGCATCTCTGATTGCCGTTCGACCTTGGCGGTCGGCTTACCATCCAAATTAAAATAAATTAATAGATTTTTCACCACATAAAATTCTATGTTGCGTCAACATTGAACACCCTACTTTAAGTACATATAATATATTAGTGTATTTTTAATCATATACTTGTTTTTTACAATGCCCATGAAACTTGGTAATCGACTTAGTAGCTGTTTTTTTATTAGCACCACAAGAAAAAAAATTCCTGCCAATCAACAACTAGTAGTTTATTGATGCAACATCGATTAATAGGCCTGGAGAATTACGACGAACTCTTTCAGATATGGTTCTGACGTGACGTGATGTAACTTAGATAACTACTGGAATCGCTCGGAAATGGTATACCTATTGAAGATTTCGAGGTGCGCCAGCTTGAAAAAGTGTGCTATTCGCATAAACAATGAAAGAGTGAAAAAAATGCGAAAATCGCGTTTTTTCCCGGAAGCAATCGCATATAACTCGATAACTATGCATTTTAGAGAAAAATATCTATACTTATACTTATACAATTTGTTCTATATGAAATTTGCTACAAGTTTGAGTTGGTCCGATATCCGCAGATTTAAAATGTTGTCTGCAAAATGCTCGAAAGTGCAATAAAGTAGGTAAAAAAGAAGGAATTTTTAAATTATTTATTTAACAATGAGAAAATAAGCCAATTACGAAACAGGTATTTATAAATACATATACATTTTTCCTCTAGAATGCTTAATTACCGAGTTATATGCTATTGTTTCCGGGAAGAAACCAAAATCACGTCTTTATTGTTTAATTGTGTCTGAATAAAGAACCTGTAAATCATATATTTTTTAAGAATTTTTTCCAAGTCCCGAATCTAAATGGCGCAGTCGGTAGGATTTCCCAACATTGGGGGAATCTCGCATCAATTTTCGTGTCTACGATTAATTGCGAATTTGAATTCGGTCCGGCCCAAGAAAAAAGAAAGGAATTTCTTCTCCTCCATTCTTATTTTCCATTCCCAACAATTGATCCGTAAGTAACTTTTGATTCTTTGGTTCGGAAAAAACGTAGATTTTAATATTTCGAATTTATCAGCGATATTTCCCTCTCGGATTCTTTATTTTTAGAAACCACAAAACCCAAAAAGTCAACAAAAATGCCTGGAAACGAAGACTATCAACTTTTAAGACTCTGTATTCCCGTCATGACAGCAATCCTCATACTTTAAAACAATTTATAGATAATTGCAATTTCTTATTCCAAACGTTTCAAAATCCAACTAAGATGGCACTAAATCACTTTCTTGCAAGAGCATTACCTAATCGGTAAACTTACAGGAAGACCGTTAAGTTTTAAGAAGAGTGCTAATAGGCTTTCGTATCGAATTAAAATTATGGGATGACGTAAAAGCTGCATTGAGATTTAGTTATGGAGAGAAAAATTAAAGTAAAATAAAAAATAAGTAATTTAGGAGATGAAATTAAAGAATTTTCAGTCGGACAAACCGTGTATAAAATTAATCCCAACTCAAGAAATAAAAACAAAACATTATTGGGTCCCTACATGGTACTAGAAAAATTAGAACATAACCGCTTTAAAATAAAAAATAAAACCAACTAAAATACTAAACCAGATATAAAGAATTAAAGAAACCTTTCCTTGTTACAGATTATCCATCTGTGTGTCTACTCAGCAAAATTTAAATAAAATAGTTACATCGAGACTGATTCGACAACTGGAAAACCTGAGTAAGAAGAAGGCGCAGCTTTTGTGTTCACTGGCTTTCTTGCTACGATGCCGTGAAAAGAAGATCATTCCAACCTTCTTGAAGATGAAGAGATGCTTCAGAACCAACCAGGCCAAGAATATCTACAACCGTGCGGAACGAGCTCTTTTACGGGAACGGATACACGAAACCCGCCGAGATCTTGCATATATTGACAGTAGACTCTTACCTGTCAATATAGAACTAGCCAACAAAATGCACTGGATCCATTGGGAAAAAGTGGATCGATTAACAGCTGACCGAATGATGGTGACCGAAGCAGCAGCAACTAATCGCCAAAAGAAGAAGTTTGATGCGTTGATGGAAAAGCTTCAACAATCCAGCAAAACAGGACCATCACCCGAGGAGAACCAACGGAAGATTGTAGTCAACTTGACCAGCAAGGAACTTACTGCTGACGAACAAAGCGTGCTGGCCAAGGGAGGAAACTTTGCCATAGTACCGTCTAGGTTGCCAGTAGAGGACATTATATCGAATGTAGAGAGTGGCATACGTTCGCTGCCCATTCAAACCGCAGAACAGATAAGGGCCGAGACTTCGAGAATTTTACAACGCTCAAAGCCTCCGAAGAG